ATCCAGCTATCAGAATAACAAACACTGTTTCTATCCCTTGGCTATGTCAGTACCCTTACTGAAAAGGATCTAAACAATCCATTTCTTCTAGAACTCGGAATCCCCACTATTTTCACAAAACATTTTGTAATAAGGCAAGGATGGATATTTGAAAAAAAAAATGTCAGATATGGATGGATTGAGATATGACTTCTTCAGGAGAATATACACTACTGCCTTTTTCAGCATTTATATTGTTTCCTAATTAAATATTAATCCATTTGATAAACTCCATAACTGATCAAAGGAACCCAAAAAGCTGTGGATCTACCCTGTGGAGTTCCAGTGCAAGATCCCTATACATTTCTTTAAGACTCCCCAACGTAAAATAAATAAATACAGTGTCAACTTGCAAAGTATCCCTGGCCTGCTCTTTCTCATAGGCAAGGGGGATGGCAAAACGAGCTTGCAGCTGCAGCAAGGCAGCACGTCGGTCAAAACAAAAGCACATTCCAGCCATATCTCTCAAGGCCGTCTCTGGAGTTACACACAGTGGCCAGAGTGATCTCTACAACCCGTGAAATTGCTTCATTGGAGAATGTGACTGATGACATACCTTGGGGGGAGGGGAAAACAGGGTCAGAGCTGGACCGAGCTGGACCGTAAATTATGTGGGGTCAGAGTTGGCTTCACTTGGAATGTGTCAACATGAAGCTTTTAATAAATAACTGGATTTCTTTTGAAGCTTGGCTCAAGGTTCATGATTTAATTAGGGCATTGGTTGAAAATCTGACACACAGATTATATCAGAAGATGCCTTCCTATTCTTCCCAAACCAGAATAAAAAATGATTAACTTTATTTACAAATAATCCCATAATATATGTTCTAACTCAAAACTTTGTTCCAAGTAAACAAACAGAGATAAAAGCAAAACCTTTTAATGCTTCTCTGCGAATTTCATTCATTCACAGTTAAACTAATGATATAGGAATTACTAGAACTAATTGTCTTGATAAGAACGAGCCTTGCCAAAGTTGTGCAAGGCTGCCAAAAGCACTAGATTAAGTTTTCAAGAAATATTCCAAACAAAAAGTCTTCAAATACAAACTAAGATAGTCTGAACTTCCACAAGGCTTGAAGTGCAAGAATTTCTTTGCTTCCTGAAAAGAATCTCGGTCTCCCAAGCTGGCTTTTATCTCTTAAGGGAGGAGCCATTACCTTGCAGTCTTACTCCTGAGTCACCCGTGCTGCTGCAGCTGCAGCTGCTCTTTCCTTCGAGCAGCCCTGTGTGCACATGCAGTGGGCACAGGGGTCTCAGGGTCCTCTGCATCTCTGCTGCCAGCCTCCACAATCTCTGAAGGCAGCACTCCACTCCGTGATAGTCCTGGCCCCATCCCTACATCACATGCAGGCCCCTCATCACAGTCCTCGCTCTGAGACTTCAGCCGTCCGCACCTGCTGCCAGCGAACCACAACAATATATCCTGACAGTCTGCCACCCTTTATCCTATGTATCCTTTCCCAAGGATCTGAGTTATCTTAAATAAGGTTACTAGTCAGGAGTCCACAATTTACAAAACACGGAGAAGAAAAGATGCTTCACTATGCTTATCATTAGTGGATAAACTTGATGGTGAGTTCATACTAAATTGAAGTCATGTTCACTTTTAATTTTAGGCCATCATAGTTTCTGGCTCTTTTTAGCAGCTTCATCTCATATAGCTCTTTAATAAATAAGGAACTGCTTCCAAAAGTCAACTGTGAAGATGAAAGCACTCTCATTCTGTGACCTCTGATTCAGAACTCAACCGGTACAAAATGGAATTGCTTACCAAATTATCCTGAAAAAAAATCCCCAAACATGTTTTGAAAATCTTCGCTGTCCATCATGAATTTTGGTCAGACCCATCCCAAGAAATTTTGCAGTTCAAGGTGCCAAAAGAAAGTGACATTTTTATAGTGAAAAACATATACTAAAGTTCTCCATACTCAAGCAACACACCCAAGCGGCAGTCCATACCTAAGCGACACCTCCTCTAAAGTAAAGATTAGATTAGACATGTTTTGGTGTTCAGTGTGTATGTCATAGTTGCTATTATTTGTAACAAGTCTCGTTGTCATGGAGATCATGAACTTAGAATTCGGTCTGTATTCAGAGCATGGAGATTTAAATTCCCCACAACAGGCAGGACTTAGGGGTTCTCATATTCATCCTGAAAGAAGTCCCAGGATAGCTGTTGGGCAGCTAGTTTGTAAGTAGGTCTGTACCACTCCCGGATTATCAATGGCTCAACTTAATACACAAGCAGTCACAACTATAGTCTGCTGCAGTGCTACTAGTAACAATAAATGGTTCATCATCAACTACAGAAATTCACCCTTCCAGCTCTTGACATCTTCTGTTGAAGATCTGAAGCACAGAAGGGCAGATTTCTGACTGGGTCAAATCACCATTGCTGCCCAACCAGATCTCAGTAATACATGCCATTATGCACACTCATCCCGTGCCACATTGTGAATAACTATGATTTTTTCACAGATACTTGACTCTTGCCAGTAGTGGTGTGAATACAAGACCTGACAATTCAGCCCACAGCAGGAGTCACTGGCATAGCAGAATAGACATATATCTCCCCTTTATCCTGTAAAATATTACCCAATGTCCCTTCCTATACTATCTTCTGCCCATCAAAATCACAATTCCAGATTTGCTCCCAGCATCCTGGCTCAGTCTGTTTACTCACTCTGTAACAAACAGAAATTGTGACATTTCTCTGACATACTTTCTGTCTACAAGCCACACAGGAACAAGAGATTGCCTTCTGGTCTATTCACATCTGAAAATATTTACAGTTCCACTCAGCTTCAAAGTTAAATTAAAATTAAATTCAAATTAAAACATGAACTTCCTACTCCTTGTACAGCTTCATCTTTTTTCTCAATCCAAGATGTCATCCCCTATCAGTCATTCTTCAGTTTGTATTTCTCTTCCAAAATTCTATCTGTATCCAGAATTTTCCTCACTACTAAGCTTTCCAACTCTCACCACTCTCTCTTCTATAAAACTAAGTTCACGTGTTCTCAAATTCTTTACTGCAAAAACTTTCCCCCAAAAGAGAAAGAAATCAATAGCAGACTTCCGGTTTGTTCATTGTCAGAGTCAGAGCAGAATCTGCTATCGTGTGTGGTTTTGCCCCGAGCTCACTTGCTGGAGGGCCCCAATTGGGACCAGAACCACCCTGGAGGGGTGATGAAGAAAGGGGAAATTTCCTGGAGGGTTGAGGGAAGCCGCAACTCCCTTCCCTGACAGGAAAAGCCCCTTCCAAAGGCAAGCTGCAGCAGTGGTTTAAAGTGACCACCACGAAGACGAAGAGCAGTCCGGGAAACTATGACTGTGCTGGAGTGGAGAAGTAGCAAATAGAGTATGAACCAGCATAATGCGTGGATTTTAAGGTACCCCAGGATTAAAAAATAAAGGACTATTTTGGAGGAATGTGTGTGAAAGCGGTGACCAGAAAAAGTGAGAAGGAAATTGGATCTCATAAAATCGGCTTGAATTATTGTATTGGATTAACTTGGAGGAGAAAATTTAAAGGAAATATTTGAACACAACAAAGGCTTGGAAATTAAATTTGATAACTATTGGATTATTGCCACTTAAAGAAATAATAGCTAATAATTGAAATTAGTGAACTTAATAAAAGTACTATATTTAACAAAGAAAGTAAAAGTAAAGGAAGGAGTGGATTGTGGAAAAGACTCAAGAGCATCACCTGATGGTACAGGAAAAATTTCAGTGATTCTTTAAAAAGTGCTTGGTCTTTCTAAGAAATTGGACTTTGGAATCTAAAAGAAAGTTAAAGAAACTCCATTATAATAAAATAAAAATTCTGGAAAGTGACATTAGAATATTATAAAGGGGAAGATACTTGATAATATTATTGTAGAACCACCTGGTGATTGTGTGAAATAGTTGGGAAAGGGCCAACTAAAAGACCTGGAAACAAAAACTTAAGGACATTGACTGTTGAAAATAAACTTAAAAGACATCTATTAAGGAAGAGGAAAGAAAAGGAAAAAAGGAGAAGATACAATGGAGGAATTATTTGTTGAAATAAGATTGGATCTGCAAGATATAAAGGAAAAGATGAAAATTAAACTTGAAATGAGCAATGTATTACAAAAATTAGAAATGGTGACCCAGCTTGTAGAAGAACAAAGAAAACCAGAAGGGGAGGAGTTTAACAAAAAAGAAACCAGCTTTGAAGAACAAAGGGGACAACAATTATTTAAGCAGGGGGAAAAGGAATTAAAATTAAAAATATGTGGTCTGATGTGATAACAAAAGGGAAAATGGTGGAGAAAATGAAAAAAAGGAGAGGGAAAAAGCAGAAAAGGGAAGTACAAAAGAAAAATCAGAAGAAGGAGGGAGATAAATTTAATAATTGGAATGAGAAATGGAGGGGAATAAGAATGGGGAAAAAAAGAAAGGATCATAAAATAAAGAGAAAGCAAACAAGGATGAAAAGGAATTATACTGCAAGGAGAGCGAGAGATAATGGGTGGGGGGGGAAAGGATAGGGAAAAAGATTCTGCAAGGTAATATATCATGACATATAAGAATAAATATTGAAAATAGATAAGAAGGTAACTGATATGTTTTTTTTTTAATTTTCTTTTTTCTTTTTCTTTCTTTTTTTATTAAAGGATTATTGCTATATTAATGAAATAAATATGGAAATGGGAATTTATAACAAGAATATTATATATTAATTGATGATTAGCGATGCATAAGAAAGGAAGAGTGAAGATGATGAAAAGAGAATTATTGTGGAAAGATTCATATCAGTTGCTATAATTAATTGAATATATTAATATCTTTGTATGTGTAGATAACTTATAAGGTGATTGATAAAATGTAATGCGGAATCTGACTCTCTCTCTCTTTATATATATATATATATATATATGTGTGTGTGTGTGTGTGTGTGTGTGTGTGTGTGTGTGTGATATATATAGTAAATAGGGAGATTGGTATTAAGGTAGAAGGAAGGTAGCTAGCTCGAATTACTAATCAAAGGGGACAAATTTGAATTAATAGAATAAGGACTGTAAAAATTGCAAATGTGACAGAAAAAGGTAATATGGGAAATGAATATAGAGAGATAAGAATTTTAGATAACATATGAGAATACCCTAAGAAAAATTTATTAAGTTATAATATGAACTGGAATTGGATAAAATAAGTTTAACATTTAATATTAATAAGGATAATATGATATGAAATTGAATAAATAAAATGAATAGGTAACTATGGTCATGTTTGTATTGAGATGTGAAACCTGGAACCACACTGCTTGCCAAATGATAATTTTTTATTTAAATTTGGGGAGGAAATTGAATAATGAAACTATAAGGTATGCTTAACTGATATGGTGGCTGACATTAGGAGAAAATATTGAAATGTTGAAAATAAGCAATGAAGTTGTGACTTAATGTGAATATGTGTATTAAGAGATATTATTAATTCTGCTTATATGAAAATGTATGATATATTGATGCCACACTGTTAATGTACTGTTGTGTGTGTAGATTGAAATAAAAAATTTGATTAAAAGAAAGTAAGAAATCAACAGCTTGTACAACTGTGTCATTTTTCATGGAGTGCTTCCCTGAGAAAAGGACGTTGGTGCTTACCTGACACGCCCATTCTCCTTGAGCTGCGAAGAGCATCCAGTAGTGGGAGATGCTTCAGTCTCTGCTTATCTAGGCTGGGCTTAATTTGCGGAACGCTCCTCCTCTTCCTCCTCCACAGGACTCCTCCCCAGCGTTCCCCAGTTTTGGTGAAGATGAGAGAAACAAACACCCTTGACCTTAACACTGTAAAAATTTGTTGGCCGAAACATGATCCCATCAGACAGAAGAGGGTGGGGCTGGATGCTCTTTGCAGCTCAAGGAGAACGGGCATGTCAGGTAAGCACCAACGCCCTTTCTCCCACGAGCTGCTCAGAGCATCCAGTAGTGGGACATGCCAAAGCTTGGCCTGTCCTACGGGAGGGATTCCGTCTGTCTTGGGATCCCCTCCTGGTCCCTGTGGACCCGTTGCAGAACCCTTCTGCCAAAGAAGGCCTCGGCTGATGCAAACACATCTATTTTATAATGCCTAATGAAAGGCGATGGAGAGGCCCAGGTTGCGGCACAACAGATGTCAGTGATTGGTGCCTGCGTGGCCCATGCTGCTGATGTTGCGGCGCTCCTTGTTGAATGAGCTGTTATGCCCCTGGGCACCTGAAGTGCTTGAGTCTGATACGTTTTCGCTATTGCGACCTGTAGCCAACAGCCTATTGTGGAGGATGAGACCTTGCATCCCTGGTTGTTGGGCTGAAAAGACACAAATAAAGCCTCCATTTTTCTAAAAGAGGCTGTGCGGTGAATATATATTTGTAACGCTCACCTCACGTCCAGCCGATGCCACTGTCGTTCCAGCCCTTGGGATGGCCTGGGACAAAAATTTGGAAGTATCAGTTCTTGTGCCCTGTGAAAGGCTGAATTAACTTTGGATATGAATGTAGGATCGGGACGAAGGACGACCCTGTCGCAATGGAAGACACAAAGATCTTGCCCGATTGACAAGGCTGCCAGTTCTGAAATACAATGAGCAGAAGTGATCGCTACAAGAAAAACTACTTTATACGTCAGAAATTGGAGACTTGATGATTGCAAGGGCTCAAAAGGGCACTTAGTGAGTGCAAGAAGGACCTTGTTAAGGTCCCAAGTGGGATAACGGTGAACCATTGGCGGGCATACGTTTGTGGCTCCTTGTAGGAAACACTGTATGCGTGGATGATGGGAAAGGGATAGGAGAACTTCATAAGTGATGACTGATGCCAAGGCCGCCACTTGACTTTTCAACGTATTAGGTGATAATCCCTTGTCAAGCCTCTCTTGTAAGAACTCTAGGATCTGCGCCACACATGGAGAAATGGGATCAATTTGAGACTTAGTACACCATTTGTAGAAACTGGACCACGTGGCATTGTAGATGCGAGTTGTTGAGGGGCCTCTGGCAGCTTGGATAGTGGCGATAACTCTGTTGGAAAACTTTTCGCTCTTCAGATGACTCCGCTCAGCCTCCAGACGGTCAGGTGCAACCATTGAGGGTCCGGATGTTGAAGGGGTCCTTGGGTTAACAAGACCCTGTCCGGCAGAATTCTCCATGGTGGTGATACAGATAGACTGTGGAGGTCTGCAAACCACGACTATCTGGGCCAGTGGGGAGCTACTAGAAGCAGTGCCCTCTCGTCGAGCAGCTTCTGGATGACCTTGGGGATCAGTGGAACGGGCGGGAATGCGTACAGAAGCCCCAGGGGCCAATGGCAACGGAGCACATTGAAATTCTCCGCTCCTTGTGAGTGGTATCTGGAAAGAAATCTCAGGAGCTGAGCGTTGAGGGGGGAAGCAAACAGGTCTACTACTGGCTGCCCAAATGTCCTGACCGCCTCTTGAAAGAGGGTCGGATGGAGGCGCCACTCCGATGGATCTATCGTGGCTGGCCCTGATTAGCCAATCTGCTTGTGTATTCGACAGTCCTGAAATGTGTTCTGCTCTGATGGAAATCAGGTTGCTCTCTGCCCAACAACACAAACGCTCCGCTTCTTGCATGAGGTGTTTCGACTGAGTGGCCCCTGTTTGTTTATGTGAGCTTTTGCAGTTACGTTGTCGGTCAATATTAATATGTGTTGGTTGTGTACCTGTGGAAGGAAGCTGCGGAGAGCCAGGTGTACTGCTCGAAGCTCCAGCCAGTTTATGCTGAGCGATCGTTCTATGGAGGACCAACGGCCTTGGGCTGTGAGTGATTGAAAGTGAGCTCCCCATCCAATCAGGCTGGCATCGGTGGTGATGGTAAGTCCGTGGGCTCTTTAAATAGGCAACCTTTGTTTATGGCTGGTCTGGTCCACCAGAGGAAAGATATGAGGACCTGTGATGGAACTTTGACCTTGTATTTGGAGTTGCTTCGGCTGGATAGCTGGTATGGGAGAAGGACCAACTGGAGGGATCTGGTGTGGAGCCGGGCCCAAGGAATAATAGATATACATGAGATCATCTTGCCTAACAATTTTGATAGATCAGCTAGGGACACCCTCCTGCGAACCCTGACCTCCTTAACTAATTGATGAATGCTGTTTTGTCTATCTGGTGACAGGAAAACTTTGCCTTCCACTGTATTTATGACTGCCCCCAGATGGATTAATCAAGTCGAAGGCGTTAAATGAATCTTTTCCCAATTGATTGAGAACCCGTGTAGCTGTAGGGAGTGTAATGTGGTCTGAGTATCTATGACTGATTGATGAACAGAAGATGACAGAATTAAGATATCATCGAGGTAACACTGCAGTCGTATGGGGACACCCCAGAGATGAGCAGCGAGGACTGTGAGAACCTTTGTGAAGGTCCTAAGGGCAGAGGCTAGTCCGAAGGGAAGAGCCCATATTCAAAATGGAGATTATTATAACAGAATCTTAAAAATTTATAGTGGGAAGGCCGAATTGGAATATGTAAGTATGCCTCCGTCAGATCTATAGATGTAAGGACGTCACCTTTTCTGATACCAAGTAAGATAGATTGTAGGGTGTGCATTTTAAATTTGCGATATACTAAAAATTGATTAAGGCGTTTCAAATCCAAGATTGCTCTCCATCCCCCTGAACTTTTGGGAACAATGAAAAGATGTGAATAGAAACCTCGCCCTTGTTGGTCGGTAGCTACTGGTTGGATGGCTCATATGTCCAGTAAGTGGTGAATAGCTGTTTCCATAAGATCTCGTTTAACCGGATCTCTGGAAAGAGGGCACGACATAAAGAAGTCTGGGGGAGCAGATTGAAACTCCAGCGCGAGGCCGAATCTGACCATGTCTCTGACCCAGGAATCAGACGTTGAGGAGTCCCATTGGTCCGTGAATAATTTAAGGCGGCCGCCAATGGGAGCCGGGTCCATGGGGTTATCTTGGACACCGGAAAAATCTATTTCCCGCTCCTCGGAAGGATTTCTTGGGTTGGCCACCCCTTCTGTTCCTATCCCCAAAGTCTGACCTCTCTGGCTGTTACCCTGGTCGGAAAGGTGGAGATCTCTGGTATCTGGTTGAGAACGGTCCCTGATAAAAGGGCCGAAAGGATCCCCTCCAAAAGGACCGAGGGTTTCTAGGGTTTGACCTCCAAAAAAGGGAGGGTAAAATTTCCTTTTTATTTCGAGTCTCAATGAGTAGCGGATTGAGGGAAGGGCCAAACAGTCTGTCTCCTGCTAGAGGAGATGAAGCGAGCTTGCATTTATGTTTAATGTCCGCTTGCCAGTTCTTTAACCATAGCAAGCGTCGCGCTGTGACATGTGAAGTGATGGCTCTGGCTGAAAACTTAACTGCATGAAAGGTTGCGTCAGCTGAGAATTCGGCGGCTGCTATCAGCTTTGCAATGTCTTGGTGTGCTCTAGTATTGGAATTGGGGACATGCTCCCATAATAGCCGGAGCCATCTGAGGGAAGAACGGGTAAAGAAGGAAGCAGCCATGGCTGCTCTGATGGCCCATGCATCAGACTGATGGGCCCTGCATAGGGCTAGCTCGGCCCATTTGTCCTCCGGCTTTAATGCCTCCAGTGCCTCACTGGGAATGGAGGATGAAGATGCTAATCCCACAATGGGTTCATCTACCTCAGGAGTATTCGACAATTTTAAGAAATCTGGGGCCAAATTAAAGAATTTCCTGTCGTAACCAGTGGGGGCCGGGTACACTGCTGCAGAAGCCCACTGTTTCTGTACCAGGTCTGCAAACCTGTGGGGGACTGGAATCACGTCTGCCTCAACAACAAGTTGGGTGAAAATGAGATCCTCTGGTCCCTCATCTGATGGAGTTGGAATGGTAGAAGGGGCTGGCTTGTCCAGTTGTGCAGTATTTTTAGCCTTGAACAATAGAGATTTGAAAAGTTGTGGCCGGGACAAGCCTGTAAATACAGGTTGGTTGGGAGCGAGGCCCTCATCCTCAGACATCCCCCTTTCTAAGGGGTCTGTTTCCGACATGGCCGGGTCAGTATCATGCATTGATTCTGATTCACTCTGGTCCATG